ATATGAAATCTACTCGATTCCTATATTTTAGTTTGAAAAATACGATACTAACGAGTCTTAATTTTTTTTTAAAACTTTTATTTGAATTATTTAGCGCTCTGTGATAAAAAAAAATATATACGTGTAGTGGTTAAACTAAATTTGAAATCCACTTTATTGGTGCGCATCGCTTCTGATTAGAGTCTTTAAGTATGATATATAATAAGTAATAACATAACCACTAAAAAGATTATGTTCATACCTACTACTTTTTATTAAGAAAAACGTTCATGTTTTATACAGCATATTCTTTCATTTTAATATTTTATAAAAGATTTTAAATTCACACGATATTGAGAGCTTATAAACCACAAGGATAGAAAAATTAATATATTTAATAATTATCTATCTGTATCTATACATCATAAAATATATAGTTTATTATTGTGTGGTCGAATATTAACGTTGAAGTTAATTATTTAAATTGTTCATCTGTAATATTATAATATTGTCTAAATACCAATTACGAAAAATTTAATATTTTAATTTTAACTATAACATTATTAAAAACTTAAACACTACAAATCATTATTGTTATCAAATACCTATATACATGTACTGTTATATTTTCTTAACATTTATATTTTTCGAAATTTGAAATTATACTTATTTTATTTTCACATTGGTCATAAAAATATAATATTCATCTAATATTAGCATAAAACTACAATATACGGACTTACTATAATTTTTAATTTTTATGGCAACATCTAATTTAATTAATTACGTAAACATTTGAAGTTTAAAAGCTTAAAAAGATAATTTGGTACCAGTGTGACATTTTTGATATTTTTATCTGTTATATGAACTTAAAGTACTTTTTCAAATTGGCAAGCTTTTTAACCACAAATAGAACGATGAAATAAAAACTAAAATATGTAAACTTAAAATATTTATAAGCATACGCCTAGCTCAAAGAAGATCCAAAATACTTTTAAACCTGTACATTGTCTAGAAAAAGCCACGAAAAATAGTTGATGAACAATTCAAGTCTCTACAATTTATAGTTTCTACATTTTTATTTAATGTAAAAGCTAAAAAATTATATTTAAAAAACTTCCGACCTTGTAAAACCAATACATAATTCATTGCTACTGTGAGAATCCAATTTATTGGTTTTTAACTATGATACCATGTGAATTATAAGATATTACCGCCGACCGTAAGAAGTGTTCTGAAAGCACAGTCATGATATCCGTAGTGGTAGCTCGTCGTCGTTCCACATTAATTATAGTAGGTACTTTAGCACCTATATACGGTTCTCGTTCAAGTTATTTTCAGACTCGAATGAATTTTTACTGTTGTAAAATTGCGTTTTATAGAAATAAATTATTATCATTACACACATTATTGAACTGTTAATTATAATATTTTTATAAAGTGTAACTAAAATAACTTTCTTTATACTAGAAAATAATTCGTAAGAAATAAAAACAATATTGAAGACGAAAATTCGTAATCGGAGAAACGTATAAACATATTGTACAGAATATCTCCTGGGCAACGAAAAAAACGCATATTATGGAGCTTTGTAGCCGATCCATTTTAATTCCGAAAAAAATATTCAATATAATGTGATATATTATAATACATTGTATTATGTTATGTACCAATACGCGTCTTCGTAGAACATGTTTTGTTCGATTTCTACATTTTTTGGTTTGAATTTTAACAATACGATTACTGGTCTAAATACTTAATTATTGGTAAACATATATTTTAAGAGTTCAACTATTTAAATAATTGTTTGAATTCTATTTTTAATAAATTGTGCTACTTTAGTGATAATAAAAACGTTGTGATCATCAGGAAGATCTAAATTTTAAATTCTGAATTTCATTTAATACTGCCTACAAAAGTACAAACATCGGAGACGAAGTAAGTTATTTCAACTGAACTAAATTCAATGATCAAATGATTTTCTAAGAACAGCAACCGATCTATAAATAAAGTAAAATATTTAAATAATTAATAAGTAATTGCTTACCTATACCACTGTATAAATATCAGTATCTACTTAGAGTGCAAAGTTAATAATTTAACAAAAAATAATACATTTTTTCATTTAAGTCAGTATAGTACATAATATTAGGCATAATATTATTACACATGATTTTTAATTTTCATTAATGACCTACCTCAATTATTTAATAATCCCATACAAATCTTGGTTTACGCTGACGACGCTAAAGTGTATTGTCCAATTGATTCTATTGCAGATTCTGAACGTTTACAGATTAACTTAAATTTACTTTTTGACTGGTGTAACATTCATCACTTACAACTAAATATTACTAAATGTCAGGTTATTTCCTTTACTCGCTCCAAAAATCCAATTATTTTTAAATATAAAATCAACAATAATGTACTAAACAGAGTTCATGATATAAAAGATCTGGGTATTCATTTTGAACATGATTTATCATTTAAATTTAATCACATAACAGTATTGAATAAATCACACAAGATGCTTGGTTTCAAAAATAGAAATACGCAAGAATTTAAAAATGTATTTTGCTTAAAAAATTTATATTGTTCTCTTGTACGTTCTTCTTAAGAATTCGGCTCATTAATTTGGTCACAGAATTTATCGACTTATAGAAATGAACTTGAAATTGTTCAATATAAATTTCTAAAAAGAGTTGCATATATTAATAATATTCCTATATCTAGAGAATCATTTGATACAGCCCAGATTTCAATTGGTCTAGATACTCTTTCCGCCAGAAGAAAATTAGCAGATGTGTTATTTATATATGACTTATTAAGTGGAAATATTGATTGTCCATATTTATTGGAACAATTAGACATTCGTGTACCATCATATTTCTCTAGAAGTAAAGAATTATTTATTATTCTCTACCATCTGAAAAAATCTGGTGCTGATTCATTTTTCCCAAGCGCGTTAAATATTGCTAATAACATCTCCTCAGTAGATTCTTTAGATTTTTTTTCAACTAATCATATTAATTTTAAATACAATGCTTTGTTATTTTTAAGAAGTAGAGAATTATAAGCTAAAGAAAAAAAAAATATATCAGCATTTGTAAAATTTTTATGTAAACATTGTATACTATAATCCTATAATCCAATGTAATTTTTTTTCTCAATAAATTAATTATTAATTAATTTTCAATTATTATTTTTATCTATTTTTTTTAATGTTCACTTAATGTATTATTATAAAGGACTTAGGTCCGTTAAATTATTATTAAATAAATAAATAAATAAATAAATAAAAGTATACCTTACAAAATAATAAGTAATTTACTCAGAAAAATAATGAAACAAAATTAATTTATAAAACTAACATATACAGTGGATCTTTCATGAGATTGAAACAAAAATAAATGATAAATTTATAAAGCATATTAATTATCAATTTTGGTTAAAACATACACTTTGATATCACTAAGTGACAACAAAAACATGTAGTATAAATATTATTTTCTCTTCTCCTATAAAACTCAAAATTAAAAAATTGACAACTTTAATTTTTTGGTTTATCAACAGCAGACCTTGATACAACCCATTCAAAAACTATTGTTGGAATTTAACCTTTTTAAATAAAATTAATCATAAGAATTTACTTATTTGATGGATTTTGCAAAGTGATTGCAAACTGGGTGAATGCCGTTGACAAAAAGCGGAGGTCTTGAAAATCATCAGGTGTTGCAGGAAACAACTTTGCCTCACACAATGCATTCGCTCAGAACCTTGGAAGTTGAAATCTTGGGCAGCATTTGGAAAACTATGGAGTTAGCCTGTGTTATAATTAAACATAAGTGTTAAAAGATTATTATACTTTTACAATTTAAGAGAAAACGATTCACAATAATAAGTAGACATTTATTTCATTTATGAATTGGTAAAAAGAATATGCATTAATTAACAATTTCTTCCAAGTATATTCCTCTTAAGGTGTATGAAGGTACTGTTTTGCGTAATACTATTTTGTCAAGGTTTACCTGAGTAATGGAACATTTGTGTTGAATGGCCTCATTTGATGATAGTGCAGCTTACCCAAAGTCAATCTCTTATCATTTTGATCAGAGAATATTGGAGCAGTTGCCAGACACAAATGTTGAGATTTTTTTCTTCTAGATACCAAATAACTGTAAGAGTCAGACATAACATTTATTTATTTTTTGTGTTTGTTTTAATTTTTCTTTGTACTTACATTTAAGTTTCAGTATTTTTATTGTTATAATAAAAGAAGCCAGATTATCCCTTATGATTTCTGTAGTCCACCAAAAAGCAAAAACTATGATGTAAGTCTGAGGCATTTCCAAATTAAGGACTTCATATGGAAGCTTCTGAACTTCTGTTACAATACCTATAATTATAATACCTATTTATTTGATAACATCTAAGAACATTGAATAACATGTGCACATAAACAAATGATACTTTTCGATTGACTCTAAAGCATCTATAAAAAAACAAAATTGGGAACAATTATTGAAGACTAATTTACCGAGTTGTTAAATACATGTAAATCTGAACGATGAGCATATTTAATTGAATCGCTAATTTTATTTACAAGTGGAGTACATACCATTATCATTGTTTTCCATATCAACCAATGTATATATTTGTGATCATGACTAATAATGACTAATAAGGAGCAAACTGATGGTAAGAAGGGTGAAAGGAAAGTATTGGAAATTTAGTTTGCTAAACTTTAATGAGTTTTTCTTGTGAATGAGTGTGAAGTGAACTATTATTTTTAAAGAACTTGAATATTATTCATATAATCATACATTATTCAATTATCATGTGTCTTAAGCTAAGTATTGTTATATTTGATAAATACATAGTTATATAGTATGTGGTAAAAAACTCATGTTTGGAAAATGTTTGTCTCATAATCATATAATTTTGTTTAAATTTATATCAAATACAATACATTTTTACAAAAAAAAATAATATTAATTACCTTTATATGTAGGGACTTTCATTGTTTTTAACCTAATAGACAAATTAAATTTAAACTTAATAATATTATGTTTATCTGAAGTTTTGAATCATGACTAAATAAATTGGTAATCACAGATCCATTTCACAATAGAAAGTGGCGGAGTCTTCAGCCTAAAGTACATAATTATTTTAAACTTATTTAATGAATAAATAGTATGTATACTTCATATATGGTCAGTCTCAGTAGGTCAAAACATTCTTTTGGAATAAGACTTGGCTACACCGGAACAAGATTCTACATGGTCCGTTTCATTATCACATTCACTGAGATCATCCATCTCAAGTAGATTTGAGTACAACATTAAACTGGTTAAACATTCACTTTCTTACAACAAGCTCTTTACCATACCTCCTTGAGAATTTGTATTATCAGAATAAACAAAAGCTGAGTATTTTCCCAGAATGAACCACCTTAAATTAAATCATTTTTAGTAAACATTATAAGTTTTCTCACAAAAGTACAGTTTCTTAGGATATTTTTAGTGAAATTATTTTAACAGATCAAAACTGCACTTGCCTGTCAAGAGCCGTTATATTATTACTGGAAGAACCAACCATATTCTTCAAAAAACTGAATAAGTCCCAATCATATCTTGATTCAGTATTTTAGTAGTAATATATTGCAAAAAATATTTGCTTTTCAAATATTCTAGTAAGTTCTTCAATGACTTATTTCATACTAGTATACCTGCATAATAACACAATTTATAGTATTACAAACTAATGTTTTAAAACAGAAAATTTCATGTATTGACCTTTTTTGAGAAGGGAGTAGTGTTTTTTTCTATTTACTTGCATTTCCTGAATGAGGCTGGTCATTGTATTCAATAATTCCTGTTGATTGACCCTATCGAGTCCAAAACTTGGAACACCTCATCAACTGAATGTTGTGTTGAACAGATCAAGCCATTTATTAGATAGCAAAATCAATTCCGAAGCCTTTTTCAAATAAAATTAAATTTGTTAGTTATATAAGTTAGATAATAAATATTTTTAAAATACTTACATCTTTCCAGTTCAATGAATCTATATAGTTGTTACTTGTTTCCCAAAAAAAGCAAGAGCTTTAGAAACTGTATCGGAAAACACATTTGCAGCTAGTTTGACATTCATCCTTCCAGTTCCTTGTACTTCAATATGCCTTTCAGTCAATTTAGGTGCCAATTTTATAATCTGATCTCCTTAAACCAATTGCTATAAGTTTTTGAAAAATTGATTTACCAACATAGTTTTCATAAAGAACTATGGACCCAATAGAAAAAAATGATTATATTAATTGTTCCTATTGTATCTGTAGCTAGATAAACAAATTTTCATGTAAATGAGTAATGACAACTGGGCGTCTGGGCACTTGCCAATTTTAAGAGTTTTGAGGTTTCTGGCGTTTCTGCAAAAACATGAATAGTATAGTATGACCAGAATAGGTGAATTTCAGTGTTGCCACGTTAAAGACATTTAACCTCGACAACACCAGAATAGGTGGAATCCAGTGTTGCCAGGTTAAAGACATAGATCCACGATTTAGAGAAGATAAGGTAAATAGTGATACCACAGACCCAAGATAATATAAATAGAAGCACGGTCTTAAACATGATATAATAAACTAGGTATGATATCAGCGGACGTATTTATGTTTTCTGTTGCGCAAATATGGCGCTGGTCTTTCGCCAATTTTCATTGGTTTAAATATTATCATAATATCAAACTTTTTTGGCGGTATTTTTTGTTTTGGAATTTAATCATGATTAAATTATCACATTAAAAATATTCAATTTTTGATTTAATAAATTTTAATAAGTACTTCTGCTATTAAATATTTACTAAATTATAATTTATAATGCCAGTTTGTGTATTTGAAGGCTGTATGAGCGGCAGCAAGCAAAAAAATTTAGTTAAACCCAAAAATGTACACTTACATAGGTTTCCTAAAGATGTAAATCTGAGGAATAAATGGTTAAATCAAATAACACGGGGTTCATCTATAAAAAATGTTAATTTTGAAAAAGGTATGTATAGTAGGGGATCAGGTAAGAGTACAATGTTACAATGTAGTGATTATTATACAAATATAATATAATTGCATGCATGAGAGCGTGCAAAATTGAACACTTACAGGCCTATTTTTCCTTATAAGCGACCTACAGTTTACTTGGTACTAAATAAAATACGATTTATAAGATTAACACCTGATATTGTAAAATCAAAAGAACTTATTATCTGTAAAAAAAACTTTTATTTTAAAATATGCTGTAGCTGTTGTGTGTTCATTACATTTTGGTCCACAACACATGGTGGAAAAGCCACTTGTGTTTGATGGTATTGCCTCACCTAAATGTGCAAGGAGATTAAAACATGATGCTGTTCCATTAAGGTATTTAGTATACTATCAAAACCATGATATAATAAACAGTTAATATAGTTTATTATATCATGGTCTTAAATACAGGTCGGGCAGCATCGCGTTCTTATATATCATTAGTTTAAAAAAAAGTTTTTCAAAATTAAAAGAAGAAAAAGTAAACTGCTTGATTAAGGAGTAAGGACCTTCCTGGGAATCAGCAAGAAGCTATCAAAATGTGCTTTAAAGCATGTTCAGCCCAATCCGGTCATGGTGTAAGATATACTACTAATTGGGTGTTTGAATGTATTTTGATGAAAATTAAAAGTCCTGCTTTATATCAAAAACTGTGCAGGGAAAAAATATTGCCTTTACCATCAACTGTGACTTTACAACGGTACATAAAAAAATTAAAACCAGCTTATGGATTTCATACTAGTACTTTCCAAATGCTTGAAGAAAAATCTTAAAATATCAAAAGAGCAGAGCGTCATGGTAATTTTGTCACATAAAAAATTAAATGTAAAAAAAAATGATTTTAAATAAATTGTTTAGGTTGTTTACTTCTAGATGAGATGTCACTTTCGCCTTCAGTGACATTTAATAAATCTACTCTGAATGTTGATGGACTAGTTGACTTGGGTAAATATACTCCAGAATGATATATGAAAACGAATTAGGCGATCGTGCCTTAGTGTTCATTTATCCACCATATCAAAGACCATGGATTCAAGCAATTGGAACATTTTTAAATATAGGTGCAGCTCCTAATGAAGTCCTTCAAAAGCTTATAGTTGAAGCAGTGATACTGTTAGAAAAATCAGGATTTAAAGTACACAATGTTGTTACTGATGGAGGTCCTTGGAATAGAGGCATGTGGAACTCATTTGTTATAACAAATACAAATGTCAGTTGTCAACATCCAATAGATTCTGAAAGAAGGTTATGGTTTATATCCGAATTTCCACATTTGATTAAAACTATGTGGACAAGAATACTTAAAAATAAAATCCTGAAGGTAGGGTATAATTTTTATTTATTAATCAAATAAAAAGCCTATTCGATACAATTATTAATTTACAATAATCTTCTTTCTAAATTATTAATCTATTTATAGACTCCTGAAGGTTACATAAAATTTGAGTATTGGAAATATATAGTTCAACACGATGAACCAAAACGTATTAAACTTTGTTACAAACTAACAAAATATCATTTGTTCCCTCAACATTTCCAAAAAATGAATGTTAAAATGGCCATGGTTGTGAGTTATTTAATAAAATGTGTATTACAATTTAACAGTATTCAAAAAATTATACATGATTGTATTTGAATTAGTTTTTCAGTGAAACAGTAGCTGATTGCATGGAAGAATTATTAAATAGAGGAGACATAAATTTCATTGGTTGTGAACCTACAGTAAAATTTTTAAGAAAAATAAATGATTTAGTAGATGTATTAAATTCAAATACTGAAAAACGCAGTCTACAAGCTGACTCAAATTCTTATAGCAACAAAGTAGATAATATACATATTTGCTAAAATATATTAAAAGAGATATGTTTTTTTTTAAATTTAGATACTCAGTGATTTTAAAAACTATATTGAAACTTGGATGCTTGAAATTCAAGACAAAAATCGTCGATTTACCAGTCAAACTGAAGGAGGTTTGATAGTTTCTATAAAAGGGACTTTGGATCTAATTCAATTTTTGAGTCAGAATGTGGGTTATAGATATCTAATGACGAAACGAATTAATCAAGATGCATTAGAGGTACCTATTAATTTTGTATAATATAAAAAATGATATTAAAAATTTTAAAAACTTATAAAATTCATTATAGATAAGTCACAGATACAATTTTTTAAAGTATTTACTGATTTTGATCACTTAAATGTATTGAGTTAAAGGTTTATATTTGTTATGGTAAATTTTTATACTTTGTGCTACAAATAATTAATTTTATATATTTTAATTTTTAATTAATATTAATAAATACACCTTGCATAGAAGATTCACTTGTCATGCTGGTATGTTGTGATTGGTTGAATTGAGTGTGACGTCAAAATAGTACAAATCTTTTTATTTAATATCCTCGATTAAGTATTCAAAACATTGATTCAAAAGTCAAAACTTAGGTTGTTAATTGTTACTTATTAGTTATTAGCACAGATTATAATAAAAAGTTTAATATAATTCGTGTTATTACGTTTAAAACACTACCTATGTTGTAAACAACTTATTTTAAATATTTGTTTCAAACCTATTGATGATTGGTTAAAACACTTAAAACAAATAAAACGTAATATGTTTAAAACAGTGTAAAATCTTAGTGAGTTTTGTATTTTTTTTTCAAATAATAGGTATACTGTTTGAGATGAACAATTGAAAAAAAAATGAAAAAAGTACACCATCTGGCAAAACTACTGAAGGAATAAAGAAATAACAATACATTTTACTTCAATTTGCATTAAGTTATTAACTACATAAATTATTAGATTATTTTCATTGCTTTTTCATTTATTTTTTGAATATTATTTATTTATATGATATTAATACATAAATAAGTGAACACCATCATATTATTACAGGTATTATGAAATTTTGAATTTGTGTATTGGTACCTAAGTAAAAATTTACTATATTATAACATGCAAATTAGTCAATTCTTAAAATTATTAGCCAACTGCAGTACCTATTTTTTGAAACTTTTAAAATAATTATTTTAACAAAAAACATAATAAGACATAAAAAATATTAACAAATTGTATACACAAATATCATCAAAGAATATAGTAGTAAATAGGTAACTTATAATTTCACCTAACCTTACATGACTGTATATATATATATATTATAATTTATAATTAAGTAATTATTTTTTTCATTTTTTTATACTTTTATCTTTCAATGTCTGCATTATAATTTTTTCTTTTTTTCAATTTAAATATTTAATACTTATACAAATCCTTTGAAAAATGTATGCTTTTATTACTTTTTCGGGAAAAGCAGTTTTTTTTTCATTATTTTATCAGTTAGTATTTTAGAAATATTTGGCCTATCATTTAATTGTTGTTTTTCATTACAGATATTAAATTCAGTTTCGATCAATTTTACCACTTGCACCCATTCATCAGAAGGAGTAGTCAGGCCTTCAAATTACAAATGATCTAACCAACTAGGAAGAGGGTTTTTATGTTCTTTGTTTGCTTTTGTTATGAAACCTAATTCAGAAAACTCACTTTCAAACTTTCTAGCTATCCACCCAGCTACATATTGAAAACCATCTACTTCTGCAATATTACTTTTAGGATTAACAGTTATATTCTCTTGAACCAATGAGGCGGATTTTGATGTTGGCAAATTAAATATATCTTCGATATCTTGCCCTTCTGGTACTCTATTATAATCAGTATTGTCTTGCAAAAACTATTGTGGATCATCTATGGACACTGGAACCAGTGGAACCTAAACAATAAAATAATAAATTATAATTTTGTATTTTAGTTAGGTACATATTATTATCGTCAGATATTATATTAACTCATTATTTGTATTATTACTAGAGCAGTTTTCATTAATGTGGCCATCAGAAACTCATCTAGTTCATTGTTTACAGTGTTTGAACGAGATACTACAATGCCAGTTGTATTTCTTAATATCATCATACAAATTCTGTACAGCGCATTTTAGGATGTTGGGTGATCATTAAATCTACCACTAGTACTTAACTCTAAAAAAAAATTTCCAAAGCATCCTGATTCAGCCTTCAAGTTAGAATGTATTCTAAATTGTATTTTTGATGAAGGTATTCATAAAGGTTTTGCAATGAGGTACTAGATATAATGACTTCTTTTTCAGATATTTCCATACTTTTTTTTTTAAAGTATACTCAGCATTAGCTTGATTTGCATTTACTTCAGATTTTGACAATACTCGTATTTGATAACTTTTTCTAATATTTTTTTTTTTGTTCTTTCAGGTGTAAAGCAAGTGGCATTTTGATGGAATTGCTGCCCATATCACATGCATTAGATGAGTTCATTACACCACTTGTTTTTTAGTTTTATGAAATTACCAGTATTAACAGCCATATTTTTATCTGTTCCTGGTAAATAATGTTTCAATGCTGTTCCAGTAGAATGTGACATCAATTGTGCAGCAACTATGTTGGCAAAGGGACAGTGAAGTCAAATACTAATCTTGGG